GACCAGGGGGGAATCGAATGGGGGGGGGATAGATAGATAGATAGATAGATAGATAGATAGATAGATAGATAGATAGATAGATAGATAGATAGATAGATAGATAGATAGATAGATAGATAGATAGATAGATATGATTGATTGATTGATTGATTGATAGATAGATAGATAGAGGGGTTATATTTATTGGTAACTGGGGGTGTAAGCCAAGTACATAGACGACAGTCCATTTGGATGACTTAGTAAACCAGAGCTATGAAACATTATAAGTGGTATGACGTGTCCAGTGTTGCTTTCTTGCTTGGCTGTGACGAATTCAGAGCCAACAAATGCCCCACAGAATTACGACCGGGTTTGTGAGCGGAGTAGAAAAACTCGGTCGTAATTTTTTTTTCCTTCTACAATGCCCGAGAAAGGATTCTAGGTGTATGTTGCAGACCATGGGGCCAGTTGACTATGGCCACTGCCCAGATAACTCCTTTGTATCCATGTATGTTTGTAAATATGTCTGTCTGTCTGTCTGTATGTATGTATGTATGAATGTAATGTTATGTAATGTGATGTAATGTTATGTCACATTAAGTCGTGTAATGTTATGTTATGTTACATCATGTATGTCTGTATGTATGTATGTATGTATGTATGTATGTATGTATGTATGTGATGTAATGTTTTTTCACACTAAGTCATATAATGTTATGTTATGTTACATCATGTATGTCTGTATGTATGTATGTATGTATGTATAAATAGATACACAGACAAATCGATCGATAGATAAATAGATAGATAGATAAATAGATACGTAAATAGATGGATAGATAGATGGATAGATAGATAGATAGATCGATAGATAGAGAGATAGAACGATATAGATAAATAGATAGAAAGAAAACAAAATAAATAGATGGATAGATAGATAGACAGATAGAAGCATCGATCGATAAATAGATAGATCGACGGCTACATAGATCGATAAAAAGATAGATAGATAGATAGATAGATAGATAGATCGATAGGTAGATAGATAGATACATAAAAGAATAGATAGATAAATAGATATATATAGATACACAACTGACTAGATAGATATAGATAGATAAATAGATATATATAGATACACAACTGACTAGATAGATACATAGATAGATAGATGGATAAGGAGGTAAGTACATAGTCAGAGAAAAAGAAAGAAAGAGATGCGGACGGGGGGTCGATAGATAAATAGATAGACAGACAAATCGATCGATAGATAAATAGATAGATAGATATAAATAGATACACAGATAAATCGATCGATAGATAAATAGATAGATAGATAAATAGATAAGTAAAAAGATAGATAGAGCGATAGATGGAGAGATAGATACAAAGATCGATCGATAGATAGAGAGATAGAAAGATATAGATAGATAGATAGATAGATACATAGATAAACAACTAAATCGATCGATAGATAAATAGATAGATTGATAACTAGATACGTAAACAGATGGATAGATAGATAGATAGATCGATAGATAGAGAGATAGAACGATATAGATAGATAGATAGATACATAGATAAACAACTAAATAGATAGATACATGGATAGATAGACAGACAGAAGCATCGATCGATAAATAGATAGATCGATAGCGACTAAATAGATAGATACATGGATAGATAGATGGATAAGGAGGTACGTACATAGTCAGAGAAAAAGAAACAAAGACATGCGGACCAGGGGGGAATCGAATGGGGGGGGGGGCCCCCCCTAAGTCTCCGTTCGTGACTCTCGGGTCTCAATTTCCGGGAAAGGAACATCCACCTCCCCCAGTACTAAACTAGTACTAAAGTACATAGAACTCAGGTAGCCTAGGCTACCTTTCGTGATGAGGCGTGCCCCGCAGAAGGAACAAAGTTTTGTAAACCAACGTGGCCCTAAACACATCTTCAAAGACATGCTGTTTTTGACTCTTGTTTCATCTTGTTTTATCTTGTTTGCATGACATTGCATTTTCAACCCTCCCCTTGCCTTGGTCAGAAAATGTGTATGGCTTACCACCACCAGCAGTACGAGTAGGTCAAAGCTGTCCAATTTTTTCACGAGCAATTCCGCATTTCTCTGATCCAAGCGCAATTCCCGCGCAACGCTCTGTGGCTGAAGTTGCTCCTGGGAGGAAGGGACGGGCAGGGATAGGCAGGGATAGGCAGGGATAGGCAGGGAGGAAGGCCCCAACTTTGCTACGAAGGTGGGCAATGTGTGCCTCTGGAAGTGGTGAAAATGGACAATCCATTGAATCTGATCATTTTGGTGTGCAAAAACCATATCCCACCGATTCACATATACCATCCCATGCAATCCCATACCCATATCCGGCAAGGTATTCCGCCCGAGGTGACACCATCCCAGCGCTCCTGACCAGCAAACTTCTGGTATAGCTCGCAGAGCTCATCCTTGGATGCTCAGAACGCATCATGTTTGGGCTATTTTGATAGATCTGACTATTCAAGATCACCTAAAAAAACTCTAGAGTCGCATCTTCTCAAGCATGAAATTCCCCCAGTCACCATCTCAGCTCCCTTTTTTTAGAATCCAAGGCTCTAGACGTAGGTCAAGCAAAGGCCTCAAGGCTTTTGGGACATCCTCTGGACCACTGCTGAACGATTCCAGACTTCCCGGAATCCAAGAGGAGGCTGCTCCCATTTTCAACCAACGAATGCAACGGATGACGACTGCGGATGAGGGTTACGCCTTTGCCGGTGCCGAAACATGGACCGAACCTTGGTTTTGAACCTTGGTTGCATCTTTGAATTACACAGACTTCGCTAAAAACTTACAGTAACTCTTCTGACTCACATAGTGCCTGTTTCCATGTTTCCGTGAGTAAAAGCGCCAGTTGGGGTCTTGATCAAGAAATGCCAATGAGTTCGACAAAATCTACATGGCCACATGTTCCGCCAGCTCAAATGACCACACTCATACTCCATGCACAAGTACCAGATTCAGATGCGAGTTGTGCACAGAATCAGTTGTGAATCGAGCCGATCTGGGGGCAAACTGATAAACCTCTCCACCAGTCCTTCAGGTGTTTAACAGAAAGGTTTCCCATCGCTCCCAAAAAAAAACAGATTTCAAATTGGCATGTCTGAAAACCTTTGGGAGCGTTGAACACTTTCCAACGCATTCCAACGCTTCTGCTCCTCTCTGCGTATCCATCCAATTTGCCACGCGGAAACGAAACTCCAGACTGCAGTGAAACCACAAACGCTTCTGCAGAGGCAACAGTGTGAAACGAGGCCACTGAACCAAACCACAAGGCAGGTCCAGCAGACAAGCAACTACTCATCTGCCTGACAGGTTCCCACAACTGGCCCTGGGATCTGATGCGTCAAGGGCTATAGACTGAGCAAAGATTAAGACAAATACAACTCTTGAAGCTTTGACCTAGCGTCATCTATCCCTGAATCTGCTGGGCCCAAGCATGAGTGCAACTATGAAGCTACAGCCTCACTGTTACTGTTACAATTTTGATCTTTGAATTTTGAAGACCTGGCTTCTACAGAAGTTGGCAGCACCCGACCTTGGCAGCCTCCTCTTTGAGGCGTTCTCGTTCCTGAAAAAAATATCACAGGGAATATCAAGTCAACGCGGCCTTTGAGAATTCGAACGATTTATGGGTATTTTCATGTTTTTATACGTATGTATTTGGTATTTACCATCCAATTTTAGGGGTAACCAATTTTGACGCATCCCCATATGTTTTGACCTCCGTTTGGAATCATCGTTGTCAACTGCTCAGCTGCTTCACATCATAACTATCAGAGCCTCGGCCCCCGTCCTCCAAGACACGTTGCTGATTGAGAGCCTTGGCTTCTTCCAAATGCTCCTGTTGGGTTCAACTTCATGGTATCACTGGTATCCTCTAGCGATTCGGTACAACCATGGCACAAGCGTGGCACAACCATGGCAGCTTGTGTTTTTGTTCGCCGCTCCTGGGTGATGCATACATCATCCACCGACTCCAGTCGCCAGTGACAGATCAATACCTTGGAATTGCCGCTGAAGAGAGGGCGCTTGAGGTGATACCTTTGGGGTTGGACACACCTAGACCTTACCCAGATATTGTGCATGTACACCTAGAACGGCCTGGTTCCGCATCAAACAGAACAGCACCAAGATCCTGACTCGGGCCATAGTGTTGCCGGCTTCGGTGAAGGGATTGCCATTCACCTGGAAAAGAAAAAGGAAGGATGGGAACCGCAGCGAAAAAGCCCTGAAACGAGGCATATCATCCACAAAGGGGGACATGTACCATTTTCAGGTTGGAGTAGTTACCAGAGTGCAACCTTTCGCATGACCTTTGATTGTTTTGATTGATTTTTCTTTGTGAGATCTGAGATGGAAGAAAAAACCAATTGCACAGTGTTGGAGCGTGCATTGAGCTTTCTGAGAATGGGAAGCTGACGCAAGACCTGGAGATGAGGAATGCTGTGGCTCCTCTTGGTGTTGGACTCATGGGGATTTCTCTGGAAAACTACAGGGACACCCCAAAATCTCCTGGTTGATCATAATTTGTCCCAGAAAAAAACAACATAATCAACCCCGGATTCACAAAGTCAGACCGTTCACTGGAGGATTGCCCATAGTGATTCTGAAAAAAAACTAACATTGGTACCCCCACCGCCACCGCGACCTCCAAAGGTTTCTCAGCCTCTAGAAGGCAGTTGCTCAAGTCGAGGCTTCTCAACGTTTGCAACTCCTGGAAGGTCCCAACTTGGAGAAGTCTGAAAAAAGGTTGCACTTAATTAAATGATTTTTGTCCCACATTTCATGGCCATTTTAAGAAGGAAAAATTAGTCTGCTTCAAAAAAAACAATTTTGACAAAACAAGATGAGGATTACCCCACTGATCCATAACTGGGAGATGCTGGGATCTGGAAACCAGGTCAACTCAGAGTTGTTTCCTATTGAAAATGCACTTTGATTATTTCCTTAATTATCTGAAAATGAAGTAATTACCCTGCAAATGGCCATTCTTACGGCGGAAAAAAAAAAGGATAAACCGTCAAATTTGGGGATAGTTTATTTTCAACAAACCCATTTCACCCTTCCTATTTTCCCTCTTTCCCTTTGAAGATTCTAGAGAGCGCGCTGCTGTCCATTTTTTCTTTCCGTTCTGCAAACATCTCGTGGCCCTTTTGTGACAGTGCGGCCAGTGCCAGCCAGTGCAGCCAGTTCAGCATTCACTTCTGAGAGTCACGAGGTGGGATGAAAGTCCCCTCAATTGCTATTCCTTTATTCTAGTCATTCTAGTCCAACTTCACAACCCAAGCGCACGCAGCCATCCTCAACCATCTACATCTGGATGGTACAAGCCTTACACGGCTGCGCTCCGGACAGGTTGGCGGTTACCACTTGAACCAGTCGCCCGGTCTCGTCAAAACGCACATCACAGATCTGCTGCCCCCAGGGAGCCGCAAAGCGAGGAGATCTCACTGCAGTCATGCCTGGCATGACATTCAGGGGGAAAAATTGAACCATTGATATGGAAGCAATAATATACAATAATGATTAATATGGGTCCGATCCCAACATGCAACCCAAATTTCACCGGCAAGAGACCCCAAACAGTGCGGGGGGTAGGAAGTCAATGTGCCAGATACAAGCAACAATAGCTATGGAACAGTAACAGATGAGGTTAGACTTGATCGCAACTGACGCAGGAGGACCTTCTATATAGATCAGATCTATACAGAGGAGCTCGCAAGATCTTCATACAAGAACTTCTTATGAATGCCCAGAAGAACTTTCATACAAGCACCAATGCAGAGCATCTTCAAGATCTTAACGCAATGAACTCTTGAGGAAGATTTCAACAGAATCTCCACAATATCTTCGCACAAGGACTTGCCAAAGGCCTTGACCAAGACCTTCATTCCAGGACCCCGCAGAGAAGCTCAAAAGATCTTCATAAAAGGACCTGCTGCTGCTGGAGCGGATCTAACAAGATCTTGAGACCAAAACCTCCCAAGAACCGCCCACAAGAGCTTTCTTACAAGCACCTCTAAGACATGGCATCTGCAAGATCTTCATGCAAGGACCTCTTAGAGAGGATGCCACCGCGGTCTCCACAAGATCTTCTGTTAAGGACCTGTACAGGATCATGCGAAGACCTCTTGGTGAGGAATTTATCAGGATGTCTACAAGATCTTCTCATAAGGACCTGCGCAAGATCACGCAAGGGCCTCCTAGAGGAATATATCAGGATCTTCACTCAAGATCTTCTGATAAAGACTTGTACAAGATTACGCAAGGACCAAGACCGGGACAACTGTTTTGCGCAAGCCTGGGCAACCGAAATGCACATGGACCTCGCAAAAGGGACGATTTGTGCGAGAATTTACAAGCAAAGCGTCGCAGACCAAAACCGGGACAACCGTTTTGTGCGAGACTGCGCAGTCAAAATGCACATGTCACAAGAGCAAATTTATGTGAAAATTTACAGGAAAAATCCCCAAGAACGGGCCCTCCGTTTTGCGCAAGCCTGCGCAATCGAAATGCACATGTACATCTCACACGAATGATTTTATGCGAAATTTTACACAGAAAAACCGGGGGGCCCAAGATCGTGAAAACCCTGCGGCGCAGACTCTGTGCGAGCCTGCTCAGTCGAAATGCACATGGACACGTTTATGCGAGAATTTACTAGGAAAAAGACCAGAGAGCATACCCTGATCTAACGCCGGCCTTGACACTTATCGTAAGAACCACGCAGTGTGGACATACTGTTTGGGGAAAAGATTAGTTTGGAAGATGGGTTTGGGGAATCTTCTATGGTCACTGGATGCCATGATTTCCGCCAGCTATCCTAAACGAATGCCTTTCTGAAGGGGGAAGGTGCCCGCGCCTGATAACTTTAAGACCCGCCCACTCGAGAGGTAGAAGACCAACGATGCACCCAGCTTCCGATCGCGGAAGAACTGCCTCATGGTGCTTCGTTGTCATGCCACAGGCAAACGGAAAGGTTGTCATGCGCAAACACACCCAACTTGCACTAACTTTGAAACCATCTTTGACCAATACATACCAATATACCAATACCTTATATAACACTTGCCATTGCTCTTCATATAGCATGGGGTCCAGGGAGCTGTATGATCTTTAGGTTTCTGTCCTGCACAAAAAGGGCTGGGACACTGGAAGGTCCAGAAGACATAGTCTCTGTTCTTCTTGCATCTTTCCGCATCTCTCTGTGTGTATCCCTCTGCGCCGGCCCCCTTTCAGAACAAAACCTTGTGGAAACCAGAAAACCTAGACCCTGGGGACACACCTGAAAGACAACAGCAAGACTTGGGAATGAAACCCTTTGTCTCCTCGTTGGTGTCATGTGCCACGGGCAGGACCAGTGGTATATTACTGTAGGTCGGATATTTTGTATTGTGGCGTATGCTGTACACCAAAATTCAGATGTTTCAGCCCCCTCCGCACCAGTCCTTTCAACTTTCCCATTCGCTTCACCACGCTGTCCTTCATCTGGAAGATCTTTAAAAAGATGAAGATGAGACGACTCTGAATATAGTATCAGACCCAGTTGATGGTGGAAACCCAGTATCAGATTTCCACGTCCCAGGTCCACTTCGTGGATGCTGCAACCAAGGCGCTCCACCACAATGATCCACTCATCCTCCTGCAGTTGCCATGGTCCTCTGATCATGTCACCACCAGATTCTCCTGGCAGAGAGTCCAGAGCACACTCTGACCAAAACCGAGGGTATTGTTTGAAATGACTTACATATACCCCATAAAGACTATACGTATGCATCATATATATATACAAATAGAGAGATAGAGAGATATAGGGGGGAGAGAGAGAGAGAGAGAGATATATAGATAGATATGATAGATACAGATACGGATGCAGAAACAGATAGGGAGAGATAGGCACAGATATAGATAGTAATATTGATATTAAGCTACTGATATTGCTATTGATATTGATATTAGATGTAGATATTAGATACAGATAAATTTTGATATAGGTATTAGATATTAGATATTAGAGATTAGATATTAGATATTAGAGATTAGACATTAGATATAAGAGATTAGATATTAGATATTGGATACTAGTATAGATATTAGATATTAGATATTAGATATTAGATATTAGATATTAGATATTAGTTATAGATGTTGGATATTCGATATTAGGTATTAGATATTACATATAGATGTTAGATATTCGATATTGGGTATTAGATATTAGATATTAAATATAGATATAGAAACAAATCTATACATATATATATATAGAGAGAGAGAGAGATACATATATATATATATATATGTAGATAGATAGATAGATAGATAGATAGATAGATAGATAAATAGATAGATAGATAGATAGACAGACAGATAGATAGATAGATAGATATTAGATAGAGATAGATAGAGATATTAGGTATAGATATTAGCTTTAGATACTTGATCTAGATATAGATATTAGATAATCGAGTCTAGAGATCAAAGATTAGATATAGATGTTGATGTAGATATAGATATGAATATAGATGTTGATATATATATATATATACATAGATATAGATATTGATATGGATATAGGTGTATATATAGTAGACAATAGATAATAGATATCCCAATAGCTGGATTTTTGAATTCACCAATGTTCAAACAATGTCCATCGAAGCTCGACTTTCAAGCGTTCCACGAATTTGAGTGGCTGAGTTCTCAAACAGGTCTCGACAACTAGGTATATCCCAGTTTCTCATCAACTACAGCCCAGAAACCCGCGAAAAATGGTGCCAAAAAAGATCTCGGGACTCGCAAATGGTAATGGTTTACATTTTAATAGGACACCAAGGGTCTACAATGTCATGCTTTTCCCCATTGCCATGGGGATCATCCGCACCCATATTAGAGTTTGTTTTGAAACTTACCAAATTCCTTTCACAAGAACTGTTCCAGAACTGTGTCAAAATTTGAAAAAACAAAAACACATCTGCAATAGATAAACATTTGGTTTCCATTCGTTTCCTTTACGGGGATCCCTCAAAAAATAGAAAAGTTTTTCACCATAGGATTTTCACTTGTCCAATTTTTTGGGGGGTGCTACAATTTGTGTTGTCTTTCATCGACATAGGGGCCCCCAGTTGACGCTTCTTCGGTGATGCAGTCCATAGGAGTAGGTCGTGCCATCTCGCAACTTCAGTTCGCAGGAGTCCACAGCAGATCCCACGCGACCCGTGAGGCATTCCACAGCGCCGCGATTCTCATCCACTTTCCTTGGTACGGAGAAAGCTGTCATGCCAAAAAAAACATCAGGAAAGTGTGTTAAAAAAATGCATACTGCCATTTTTCCCGTCTCCCTTTTCGCTGTAAATAGCGTGCAAAGGCGAGGTTTGAGGTGGGGGGGACCATATTTAGGGGTGGAGGGACCGGGCTTATACACGCATAGATAGATAGATAGATAGATAGATAGATAGATTAATAGATAGATTAATAGATAGATAGATAGATAGATAGATAGATAGATTAATAGATTAGGTAGATCGATAGATATTTATAATATATATATATATATCATATATATATATATATCATATATATATCATATATATATATCATATATATATATGGATAGATATGGATATAGATATAGATATGGATATAGATATTAGATATTAGACATAAACATAGATATAGATATAGATATTCGACATAGATATAGATATAGATATAATTAGAATTACTTAGATAGCCGTAAAATCTATCACGCTGTCATAGACTCATCTATACATTTTTTCCAAGTCCAGCCCCAGGTTCTCCAGGAAGACCCCCATCAGCTGGTGGTTGTCAAATTGCATTCCCGTAATCTGCCTGCCGCTAGGCGCCGCAAAACGGCGCCGCGTGCGCGCCTCGGAGCCCGAGATGGCCAGGATGCCTGGGCGTTGATGGGAGGTTTGGCAGTGGAGGGGGAAAAATGGGAAAACCATCTTCAAAAATCGGAGAATTCCATAGATTAGCATCATTTCCTATATAGGCTATTTTCAGGGATCCAACATGTTCAAACACACCCAAGTGAGTTTTAGATGGTTTTATTGCAGGTGAGTTGTAAGTTGGCAAGTTCAAATCAATGAAGGTATGAAGATTACGGTATAGATGCTGGGAATGAAGATACTATCGATATGATTAACTTTGATTAACTATAGAGGTTGAATGAGGTTGAGGTGAAAGAGGAAGTTCAAAAATCCAAGATGCGAGCTTTGCTTGTGTAGAAGACCAGGGAACTTCCAAGCACTTTGTCAAGATTGAAGTCCTGGATCCAGCTGGGGCCATTTTTCAAGGTGTGCACAGAGCCTGTTTTTAGTTTATTTTGGCTGTCATAACAAAGGCTCATGCAATATGGACTTCTTAAACATCATATCCTGAAATCATCAGAAGTCACCATTTCTGAAGCTCCTTTGCTACTCTTCTCCCTGCTGGTCCTGCATCACAGCCACCAGCAGTTCATCAGGCTCCACCTGAAAAATGGTTTGAATGGCTCCTCCATCACCTTGGACAGGGGCCACTGTGCTTTTAAGTCGTCCAAAGGACGGAGGAAAAGATGAAACATCATGAAACTCATCATGAAACTCATCATGAAACTAATGTGTTCAAAGCTCTTTTTCCTCTCAGATGAGTTATTGTGTATTTATATCAACGATATCAAGTGGGTTTCAAGTTTCAACCATTCAAGCGATGAAATCATTGCCAAATCACTGCCATGACGATGTACTTTCCCATCACGCTGCCACAGTTCCAGGCTATGCACACCTGCCCCTGTGCGACCGACGATGCTATCCACCACTCCTCCCAGTGGGTGCCGGGTTTGGGAAGACTGGGAAGTTGGCCAGAGGTTTGCTGTGGGTCAAAGGTCCACTCTGCTTGTCACTGCTTCTTGTCTTCAAAATCGTGTCACGCATTGTTACCCTAGTTGGTCCATGTTGATCCCAGATTTTAGGGTTGTAATGTGCACGCACCAAAAAAAAACACACGCCGCAGCTATGAATGGTTTTTTAAGTCCTCCAACAGAGTCAACTCTCGCAGTTTTTGTGGGCGATTCGGGCGGCAGAAACACGCAGGTGGAGGAAACTGCCCCCATGAGCCAGGGATGTTCGCTGCACTGCAGCAACCCGAGCCTCACCACAAGGGGTCAAGGATGGTCAAAGGGATCATGGGCTCAGGTGATGGGCAACGAATCCGCAACATGCCGCAACACTGTTCAACGTGTTCAACCTTGGATGGCCGACAGCAGGACTTAAATGACGTTCATCTCACTCCAGTTTCATCTCCCAAAGCTTTCACAATAAGATCAACCCATCATCAATCCACCACAGGGTCCACAACAGCCCAGGCCTCTGCTCCGCATCCACCGTCAAGAGCCCCTGCACCAACTGGCGTCCCTCCCGACTGATCAAGCGCCAAGAGGGGCAGTCGCTGACCTGTGAGACCTGTTCCTTGTGCTCCTCTGGGCTCAAGCAGCGCACTACAAAGGGCATCCGACCACACCTGGAACGCGTTGGGCAGCGTGAGGTGCTGATGAGTTTTGATCAAGATTCAAAACTACTGCTGGAAATTTATCAGTTGCTGTATTTCCAGATTATCAGTGGCTGTATTTCCAGAAAATATCAGATACGTAGCCAGAAAATCAATGGCAATGGTGGCACTGGTTGGCAATCTGCAAGAAGAGCCAACACTTCAGCAACTGTCACAATATCCTGACTGGGACTCTGGCAGCATCGCGTAAAGAATCACGCCAAAACTCCAATAGTCCACCCGCTCGTCGTATTTACCCTTTAAGACCTGCACTGCTTCGACATGCTTTGACTGTTGGAGATGCCAAAAAGATCTGAAATACAGAAAGGTGGAAAACTGGCCTCTGGTGCAACATAGTCAGGGGTACCAACCTGAGGCAAGAACTTGGCATTTCCAGGTGAACGTCTGCTTAGCTTTGTCTGACTATGGTACCTCAAATTTGCCCCCGAAACCCATGAACATGTCATGAATATCCCATTAATACCCCAATAGTATCTATGTTTTCTCCATGACTTTCATAGTCTCCTGGATTTGAGGTTTCTCTAGATGCTTCCAAGGGACTGCCGTCATTGTTCGCTTCAAGGTGGCTTTGGACGTTGCCTGGCGGCAAAGTTTCGGAACCCACGGAACCCACCTCCTGGTTCTTTTGAAGACGATTTTTAGATTTCAAACATGCTCAAACCAACTTCGGCTATCCTCAAATTCTCAAATCATCTCAAATCCTGATCTTTGTGCAAACTACATTTCTTCCGCTGTTGCTGGTTACCTTATTCTCAGCTACCAGCGCCTTCCGCTCCTTTGAAGTTGACAGGCCAAAATCCTCGGTGCATGGCTGAGCATATGGCACCATGATGGCGCCACAAAAACACCCGTGGGGCGCAAGAGTTGTCCGGCTGAGGCGCTGCAATCTTGATGTGATGCAAAGGGCAATCCTCTTCAGCAGAGAAGCCTGAGGAAATTTTGGACTTGGAGACTGAGAGACTGATATTAATGGATATCAATTTGATATCAATGGTGAAGAGGAACACCTTCAAGAAGTCGCGATGAAGATCATCTCAATGACGATGAGCTGGGAGACCAACAATAAGAGACCAAGATATATATATATATAGTAATAAAATATTATATCTATATATATATGGTCTCGTGTTCCGTGTTCCTACCCCCCCATGGTATGGGTCCCCAGGTAGCACCCCCTTCCCTTCTATTTGCAAGCTATTGGCAGCATTTCTGAGGTCCAGCCTCGTATTTGCTGGGTCTTTGCAGCATTTCTGACCATCATAGTAACCATACAGACCATACATACTGTCATATCAAACATACCATACCCAACGGACTTACATACCATACCTACCATCCATACAATACCAACCATTCAGGCCATACATACCATACCTCCCATACATACCAAACACACCATACATTCCAAACATGCCATACCAGACCGACCATACACACCATACATACCGTCATATCAAACATACCATACCCAACATACTTACATACCACACCTACCATCCACACAATACCAACCATACATGCCATACATACCAAACATACCATACATTCCAAACATACCATACATACCATACCAACCATACACGCCAAACATGCACCATGCCATATATATATTGTCATACATACACTACACCCCCCCCGCACCACACACACCCAGCACACCACAGGGGGGGAGGGGGACAGTACTATGGCTGACCCATGACCATGGCCCGGGGGGGGTGGAACGCTGGACCATATATATATATTATATATTATATATATATATTATACATATACATATAATTATACGTATATATCAATCATATATTGGCCTTGCAACTTCTTCCTTCTTCTAATTTGCCAAGCAGCTGCTGTGAGTAATCAGGATGTTCTCAAGTTTGAGATCCCGATGGAGCACGTGATGCCTGGACACAAGGAGAGCCATGGGCCACTAGGTCTCGGATGGTCTCGGTCAAGTCATTGGGGTCTCAATGGGTCGACATTTTGGACATGTTTAAATATCTTTGTCGGTGTAAAGTATCAAACCATCCATTTTTGGATATGTTTGGTGGTTCATATGTAATTTTGACCTGGGATCCCCCGGTCACAGCTACTTCTTATCTACCGAGCCACGCATGCATGTAGCCGATGCCCTCTAGCCTCGCTGGCACATGACGCAGCTAGTTTAGCAGTGCCCAGTAATGCAAAGCTTGCGTCATGGACTCGCAGAGCTAGTCCACGAAGTGATGAAAAAGAATCAGGAGCAATAACAGCAAATAAAATCAAATAAATTAGGAGCTTGCCAGCATCCCTCATCATAGCTCGGAAATCCTGGTTCTATCACCAAGCAACAGTTGTGCAGCAACATGTTTTGAGGAAAACTCTTTGCCACCAAGTCCAGGGAATGGGTCACGTTGGCAGTCCATGATATCCTTGTGCAACTTGTCAAAGAGATTCCCGCCGTGTGCCAAATCCATGACAATGAGGCACTGGTCATCAGTCCAGAAAGCCTCATGTAAGTTCACCTCAGCAAGAGAAATGGACCATTTTACACCAGGTCTGATTGTTGAACATTTAGGTCTGAAACTAAGGTACCCCCATCTTCATCCACTGGTTCAATGGCCTGGGGGCATACCGCTATATTCCACCCCATCTTCATTCACAGACCCATAGTCCATATTTCCACTGGCCAACTCATGGGCGCTTCTGCAGAGTTGCAATGTGTGGATGATGCAGTTCCCGCATGATGCGGATTTCTGATCGCAAGGATGCCAGCTGTCGCTCTGACTTTTCGATCAAGGTGGTATTGATCACCTGCCGGGCAGGGGCTCGGCAGGAAGAGTAAGCCAGATTTTTGCGACGGTCCAAGCACTCAAAGCCAAAAAGATACTATATAGTGGGGATCAACCATGACGACCGGTCTCAGATCAAGTTTTCTATATCTTTCTATGGTAAGACACATTGAAGTTTGCTTTCACTTCCATGATATTTCTTAGCTAATGCCATCATCATGGCGGAATTCACAGCCCTTCCATGAGCTGCAGCTGCTGCGCCTTCACTGCATATTCATGTTGGGTATTCAGTCGTATGCACCTCAGCCCGACGACCAACTGAGTTATCACATCACTTCGCTGGAAGAATCAGCAGCCTCTACAACCCAGCGCTATGCATGCATGCATGTATGGATGAATGAATGAACGAACGACCTGTATGAACTGTATGAACTGTATGAACTGTATGAACTGTATTTATGGATGTATGTGTGTATGTGTGTATGTGTGTATGTGTGTGTCTGTATATATGTGTGTCTGTCTGTATCTGTGTCTGTATGTATGTGTGTCTGTATGTATGTGTCTCTCGATGCATGCATGCGTGCGTGCGTGCGTGCATGGATGGATGGATGGACGGACGGAGGGATGGCTGGATGTATGTATATGGATTATGGATTATGAATTATTGTCCACTTGCATCCTCATCCCTAATCAGCCTCAGCTTCGGACCGAAAGACTGTGCCCTGGCCACCAGCATCCAGCTTGGTACTCAGCTCAAATTGGTCATCCGGCAAACCAAATTGGGTGATGTCGGCGGGCTCCGGCTTCTCCTTGGACCCCGTGGACCCCTTGGACCCCTTGGGCCCCTTGGGCTCTGGGGACGCTGGCTTCGGCTCCTCCCAGTCCTGGCGCTTGACATGGTCAATATCAAAATGGAAGGTATGGAGATGAAGATGTTCACAATTCTTCACACGCTTCAGTTCAACTGCTCTTTGAAAGCACCTTTTCCAAATGACATCTGGTATAGAGAACAGTATTCCCCAAATTTTCACATCACAAATGTGTCCTTCCGGAGGTAGGAGTGCTCCACAACCAGCTCATGACTGTCATCTTCAATCCTCTTCCGATATTCCGCCCATTTCTGCAGCGCTTTGTACAGCAAGCCACCGCAGAGCGCAGCAATGGTCCAGCTGAACAGCCGTCTCACCAGCCGCCCGACGCCGGAACTGGGCGAAGCGGTCATTATGGTCATTGCTCGCAGCCATCGACGGGCCGCTGCTCATGGAAGCCTGAGTTTATTGTGATCTAAGTATATCAAAGTTCTGTTTGAATGCCAAACCAGAAAATGCATGAAAATGCGGCTAAGGAACCATTTCGTTTCAAAGTTCATTCAGTACAGGGTTTTTTAAAAAAGAAAACAACAAAAAACAAATGAAGGGAACATCTTGATGGTGCAAATAAATTTGAAAGAAGGCTTATAGCAAGCAAGGCCTAATGTGCCAGCCAGCAATCATCGTCCAGTGGAAATCTTTCCGAGCATTCCGCCGTAAGGATCAATGTGGGACAGGCCATTCAATGGGCACCAATCAAAGTCGTTCCACGATGAAACTTCTGAATCATCTATTATGAGGCTTCAGAAGGCTCAGAAGCCAAGTCAGCTGCGAAGGTTCAGGATCCAGTGCGCATGGAAATTTCAGCATGAGCATGATCATTTTGCGGCACATGATTTGGTGGCTTGTTAGCTTTCCAAAGGCAAACCACAGGAGGCAGTGTCACAACCCTGTGTGATCTGCTACAAAAGTCCTGAAGATTGCCGGAAAACGACATATCCAGCTGGCTCATATTTGTATGCATACATACATATTACATATATGAATTAATTATATATTATATATCATATATTAAGTATTATATATTATGTATTATATATTATATATTATATATTATATAGGGAGGGGACTGTTGTGGCCGCCTCTTTTTTAACTATTGTTGTCAAGTTTTTAATTAACCATGAACTATTTCACTGGGAAACCTACACAAAAAAGTCATGAATAACTCTTGAACCATTGTTTAGCCAAATGTCTTGCAATTTTATTTGGTAAGTTCCAGGCAGTCTTGACAAATGTCATGGGACACATATGAAATTATTTCGTGAGAAACATTATTTGCAGCCTTTACCAAGTTTTGAAAAGGATCTGAAACTTTAGCAGCAATGGCCCTCAGGTTCATTTCATCAAAGTATCTTTGGTTCAGTTAGTGGTCTGCCTAAAAGGTCTTGCATGTGTATATATACTTTTTCTTTCTAAGTTGTCATCCTTGAAAATCACAAATTTTCTTGCAGCAGCAGTTCAAAATCTCAAGCTTTCAGCTTTCCAGGCATGTCAAAATCATTCAAAATCTGTAGATTTTTGGTATGCAGTTTATATGCAGTTTATATGTAGTTTATATGCAGTTTATATGCAGTTTTCAAAACTGCATATAAACTACATGTAGTTTGGTCAAAACTGCATATAAACTACATGTAGTTTTGAAACTGCATATAAACTGCATATAAACTGCATATAAACTTCATATAAAATTTATATGAAAATTCAAGGGCTGACATGTGGTTTTTAAGGATTTTGATTATACATTTGGACTTGATTCCACTGATTCCCAAACCTTTGGACACCAATATGGACATATAAAATTCATAGTGTGATGCAATCAAAACTGGCAATGCCAGCAACTTGTTTCCTTTCCCAAAACTTTGAAACAATTGCAAGTGCAAAGGCCCAGTGCACTTGTTTACAAAAATGATTTGAAGAATCATAAAAGGTTATTTCTGTTCACAAGTAAGTAAGCATCTCTAAAGATCCAAGATCATCATATGTAAATCTCAAGTAAAGAGGTTTCAAGGAACCACAAAAGATTCTTTTGGCTCACAAGGAAACATCTGTACAGGCCCAGGATCATCCCCTACACATGTAAATCTCAAGTAAAGATGCTCTAATATACCACAAAAATCCAAGAACATCACATGTAAATCTCAACTAAGGATGTTTTAGGCAGGACAATACAAGTTTCTGTTTGTGTTCACAAGTAAACGTCTGTACAGGTCCAAGAACATCACATGTAAATCTCAAGTCAAGAGGTTTTAAACAAAACAATAAACTTCTTTGTATTCACAAGTAAGCATTTGTACAGATCCAAGAGCATCACATGTAAATCTCAAGTAAGAATCTTTGGAGGAAACTGTCAGTGAACATATAGAGATTGAAGTGCTAGCTATATACTATTGGAAAAATGTATATGGAAAATCCAAAACTGTTTCAAGTATCCCCAGGTTTTTGCCTGCAACAAAGAAGCATGTTTCAAATGTTATGGATGCTTGGTCCCAAAATGGTAAAAAGACAATGATATGATCTTTACATGAACCTGCGCCTGGCATAAAGTACTCAGGCTTTGTTTGGAGGGTCACTTGATGGATCCTTAATTGAAGAAACTTCTATGTGCCAATCTTTACTTGTGGATTCAAACAATATGGTATATATTTGATGGATCCTTACTTGAGGAAACTTCCATGTGCTAATGCTTACTTGTGGATTCAAACGACATGGCCTATATTTGATGGATGAGCAGGGAATATAGAAAATTAGCTAACCACATGTTGGAAATTAGTAGTTAAATAGATCTGATGATCTTAGATTAACTTGCTTCAGTAGTCCAGACACAGAGAGAGCGGCGCTAAAAGCCAATAAAGGCAGATGACCAGAGAATATAGAAAATTAGCCAACCACATGCCATAGCTTCAGGAGTCCAGACACAGAGAGAGCGACGCTAAAAGCCAATAAAGGCAGATGACTAGGGAATATAGAAAATTAGCCAACCACATGTTGGAAATTAGTAGTTAAATAGATCTGATGATCTTAGATTAACTTGCTTCAGTAGTCCAGACACAGAGAGAGCGGCGCTAAAAGCCAATAAAGGCAGATGACCAGAGAATATAGAAAATTGGCCAACCACATGTTAGTACTTAAATGTTAAATAGATCTGATGATCGTAGATTGGCTTGGATTAATCTGGATTAATCTGGATTAATCTGGATTAATCTGGGACCAAAAAAAACAAAAAAAACAAAAAAAACAATGTTTTGGAGACTAGTCTAAAGATAGCCCTGATCCAAGTAGTCCTGAAAACATTGGTTTTTTTGTTTTTTTTGTTTTTTTTGGTGTTTTTGGTTTTTTTGGTTTTTTTGGTTTTTTTGGTCCCAGATTAATCCAGATTAATCCTTGGGGCTTGAACAGATATCAACACACAAGTTATCGGAAGGGAATGTTGTGACACCCAAATCTCACAAGAACACAAGTTATCGGAAGGGAATGTTGTGACACCCAAATCTCACAAGAAGTATTCTTTATACATATTAAGTGTGAGATTTGGGCGGCCACAACAGTCCTTTCTGATTATATATTACATATTATATATTATATAATATATATATATTATGTTATATCATATTATACTAGATTATCCTGTTTTATATTATGTCATACGATATTATACTATATAATATTATATTAAACAATATTATACTATATTATATTATACTATATCATATTATATCATATCATATCATATTATATTATATTATAATATATTATATTATATTATAATATATTATATTATATTATAATATATTATATTGCGCGTTTTGCATGTGTTTACCCATCCTGCTGGTGAGAAATACTCGGTAAATGCATATTTTCTATGGTAGAATGCAAACCTTTGACCGCATTGACATCACGTCTCCGCTCTTTTCGTCCACCACTACACTAAGAGTCACGTCCGCCAACTCGGAAGAACTGCTTCGATGAAAACCACACGAACTCCTTGAGTTGCATCGAATGGGGTCCCTATTCCGGTGAGTAGCCATCCCTAATAGGCTTCAAATGGCTTCAACAATCGCCAGTTTTGACATGTTTTGACCACACAAATGTTGAGGATCTATGTCTCTACCATAGTGTATCCTACATGATTTGTCAGGTGCCGCCGTTGCATCTATGTCGTCTCGCCCCTGTTCAAAACCGCTCAGACCAGCGGACGTCCAGCTTCATGTGCGGTCTGGCGGTGAGCAGTGGCTTGCTGGTGATTTATAACAAGTTCGTTTCCCCAATTGAAATTGCAATGTTCGGATATTATCGGGCATCCCCCAGTTTTGGAGCAAACCCAAATATCTGGTGTGTCTAGAATTTGGAAGGTCGCTTGTGACCATCCGAAAAGAGTGGGAGCAACAGCCAGGCCATACCCAATGTTGCCGTGTGGCGGATCAGATTGTCTCAGAATGCTTCACTGATTTCAGTTATATAAAGGGTTTGGTTTCTTCCATTTACCACAATAAGTTGTTGTTTACTTACGTATATGTCATATGTATATATACCCATTCATTTGTTTTCAGTAAAATATTTAAAATATCTATATATATATGATAAAATACAATAAAATAGCATAAAACAACATAAAATAACATAAAATAGCATAAAATAACGTAAATAAGATATCTATAGATATCTCCTGTTTGCCCTTGATATCCCTTGATCACCCTGCAGTGACTTTAAAGAAAAGGGATGCGGTTTCACCTTCAGCTCCTCATGGATGTTGACACTCAAGGCCCGCACCGACCTGCAGTGAAGACACGGCTGGGCCCAGCTGTTCTTTGCTTATCATGTGCAAATATGAATGGAACTACTGCTGGGATGATAAGATGGGATAATAAGCACATGTTCCACTCCATGTCAGTGGAACTACGGTATTTTCATGGATGTTCCATTGACATGTTGGATTGTTCTTGAGTCAATCCAGGATGCTTGAAGGGAAACCACTTTAGGAAAGCACATGTTTTTGGGAATGAAATCTGGGGTCCCTTCACATTGTTCCTGGAACCAAATTTACGGCTTGGCGCTTTCACTGCTGCCTGCCTTAAGAATGTAAAGTTGCTTGGAAAATCTTGGAAATGGAATGGGTTTATGATTCCAATCAACTCCAGTTATGGGTATTATACAAAACAGTACAGGGATGTACAGGGTATACATCCGTATCTTGGGCCCATCTTTGTACCAACAGGGTGGGAGCGTCGTGATCTGGAGCCACCATCACTTTGAAGCGTGCCAGGATGTTGCAGGCTCCAAAACGTATTCAAAACACGGAGTTTTCAAGGGGCACGAAACACGGCTTGGGAGGGGCTTCATCAAGGCATCACCTTTTTGTCAAAGGAATACCTAGTACAAGTACAACTGGTGGATGTTAGAAGCCAGAATGCGAATAGTTGAAACCAAAAGTTGAGCCCCCTTACCCGGCTTGGATGTTTCCGTCGTTGCTGTTCGTTTTTATATGTCTTTTATCGTCTGCATACCACTGAGACTCAAACGGATTGTCGAAGATGAGTGACGCAGGCATTGGCACTCCAGGGAAACTCAGCCATCGCCAGATCAAACGCGTCTCGACCCAAGGGACCCCCCGAGATCGTCGAAGCACTGCTCCGCTGAGTTTGTCATAAATTTGATGGTTCAAAACCTCGTCTTCCCTGGTAAGATTATTGATTATGTAAGATTGCCAGTTGGCCGTATACCTCATTTTTGGGACAATCCATGTAGACGACCAAATCTCTGAAGCGCAGACTGCTGCTGCAGCGCACTCCTGAACTGCACCTGTCAAAATCTGGATATCAAAGTTCGGAGAGTTACTGGTCACCACTTGAATTCACGGCTGAAGCTGCCCTGAGTCCGCTTTGCTGGTAACCTCTGGTAATCAAACCGGGCAATGGAAAATCATGGAAAATCCACCATTTCTAGATGATGTTCCCTTTAAAACACCATGGATATTGATAATTATCCCATTCATGGATGATTATTCCATTAAAACCTCCATTTGTACATGATCATCCTATTTCGGATGTTCAATTGGCATGTTTGAATACCTTCAAGAGCGAAACTTCCCGGCGCGCCATGGAAAGGCTGTCCAGACCAGCATCCATCAGTGGTGAGTCCTTGCCAGGAACTTGAGATACCATGGGATCTCATGGGGATAACGTCAACCCCGGATTAATAAATCATGGTTTATAGAAAAATAGAAAAATCGAAGGGGTACTCCCCAAATAGTGATCAACAGTGATCACCTGATACTTAACCATACTTAACCGACTTCACCTTTGGATTCCATTGGATTCTCTGCAAGACTTCCCACTCTTAGGACGGACATGCAGCTCGAAAATCACATCCACTCTCCTGGTGGAGGTCATCTGTTTGCACCCTGGCGCGGCGGATTCGTGGACGATCCAAAGAAGGGGCCGCACATTGAATCTGAGAATCATCATATCGAAACACAGATTGATCAGTTGAATCTGAGACCGATTTGCCCTAGGATGCCCTAGGGCTTTTGAGTTCCCGCTCTCAAAAAATGGGAGCCCCCACAGTTGCATTGCAATCTCATTGATGCGAGGGATGAGGGCATCCACCTCAGAACAGAGGCGTGACCGCCGTGACCGCTGTTCGAAGTGCAATGCGTTCGTTCATGGAGGTTTCATTGGATTGGTGTAAGGGAAATTTACCGGAAAGCCCTATTTTTCATGGGGAAAACCAGTTAAGATGTTCCTTTTCCCTTCAACCAATCCAGTGAGTCTTGGAACCAAGTCCCTGACAGTTGGACCCTTGTATGGACCAAGCTCGCTTTCAGCCTGGCTCGCCGCAACGTCACCTGGCTGTGCGTGCCACATGCGCCGCTCACTCATGACTATAGGGATTCCTTAATGGGTATATTCACCATTACTATGTCTATATATTAATGGCTATGCTATACATTCCCCATGGCTATTATATATATATATAATATATATGTATATTATATATATGTATATTATATATATACTGTAATATATATCATCCCAATTAACGGAGCGGGGTGACTCTTCCCTTTTAAGGGAAAATGATCCGACTTTCGACCATAGCATATGGCAGCGCCCAAACTTGTACTGCCTCCTTAGTGCAAACAGGTCCAAACTCCCGGAGTGTTTAGCAAATAGATCATCATTCATCAATCTTATTCCATCATATCTTATTATTATGGCTTATATATTAATATGTCATAGCAATAAAATCCCATAAACCCCACTCAAAATCACTTAAATAAGAACCCGTCCCTGCTGTGTCTGGTCGCCAGTTGAAATTTTCCGGCGCCTGGCCCAGGTGCTCCTGTGTCCTGGCGAAGCCGTACCGTGGCTAAAGACTTACGTTACGACTTATTATGCTAAGATTGACACCTTTGGGTCCTTGAACTTCCTTGAACATCTTGTGGATATTTGATATATTAATATATGTGTGGATTGTGTTCTAAATTGTCCGTCTACTTTCTAAAAACTTGAGGCAACCTTCTCAACTTTGCACAGAGCTTGCGGGTCTCTCGTCCTCCACGTAGTCCTCCTGATCATCCAGCAACAGCTATGGACAAAAGCATGTGGGCCTTGGCCCAAGAATATCTGGGCCTTGGCCTTGTTAGCAATTCTTCTGCCCCTACGCCCCTACGGCTGCAGGAATTCTGTATCCAATTTGACGTGTTTCCCGACAGAACGTCCAATGGCAGCTGATCACCAGTTCTACACAGCCCATGGTTTTTCCTTTCGTTGGAAAATGGAGGAAACCGAGTCATCGAGGATCCCAAAATTATGATGTAGCTGTCCAATGGATCCCAAATGGATCCCAAATGGATCCCAAATGGATCCCAAATGGATCCCAACGGCGTGGCGGCAACTTGTCGTGTGTGGTGTAGGGTATCAGTCGTCCTGCTTGCCCTTGCCCTTCCCTTCCAAATGCTCAAGGAGTTGCCTCAGCATACATCACATCACATGTCTTTTTGGAAATGCCATATCACTGCATCACAAGGCTTGCAAAAACTGAAATGTCATGAAGTTTCAGTATGTTTCAGTGTATTTTTTCGTCTACTGACGATGTAGTGCATAGAGTATAGACATGTTATTCTCACTGCATTACAAACTTGCATACCATGCAGAACCGTTTCAGCGCTTACATAATGTTCCTGCCACCCATGAATGTTTCTCACTTCTGGGGAGAGTGCACTCTGTTGGATTGCAAAAATATAAACAAATAATAGAGAATTGTTTCTTCCAGTAATTTCATTGAACAATTACTCTTACGAACATTCTTCTGAGCGCCGGCACAATGCAGCATCTTCACTCTGAGGATCTCTGATCTTCTGAGCGATGTCCAAAGACTTGTGAGCGAACTGGCGAGCGAAGTCTGGTAGAGGTTGGAACATACCCTCTGGTAATTTAACGTAACTATGGAAAATCACCATTTTTAATGGGAAAACTCACTATAAATGGCCATTTTCAATAGCTATGTTAAATTACCAGAGGGTACCATGCCAAGACAAAACACTGAAATCACAACTTCAATGAGAGCATCATCTCTTTGGGGTGATCCATGGTGATCCCATATTGGTCGGCTTCGGGAAAGCCATGGTACACCCCGATGGACTCGTGGCGCCTTCCTGGCTTCATCTTTCTTTCCGTTCATGGAGTAGATCTCGCCAATGGTCACCAGGGCGGCCGCCTGTGAACTCTGCGCGCCCGTTAAAAAAAAAGAAAAGTAGACCAAGCAGTGACGAGTAGATCAAAAATATACCAAACAAAAAAAAGAGTTCATCAACTTCTATATACCAGTGAAATCTGAGTGTTCCCAGTTATTCTCTGTCAGGCATGTTTCAAAGGTGGAAACCATTGAGATGTCGCATGATTTTCGCCCAAGATTTCGCCCATCATTCCCATCATTCCCATCATTCCCACCTGACCACGGCGATCACCGCTCTCTTCCGAGATCCTCAGGGCCTCGTTGGCCGACTTCAATCCTTCCTGGACGAGACCGGCGAGACCGGCGATGGTTAGCCATGCGATGCTTCAATGGATACCTGTGAAACGCAGCTGATTGAACAAATTTGAACAAGACAATGCACAGCTGATATTTAGAATTTCTATGATCCTATGGCTTACTCATATTAAGGAGTGTGTATATATATAGTTTGTGTGTGTGTGTGTCATGTCTCTCAGAACTCTGCATATTACCTTTCGTCCCTTCTCTATTAGTTCATCTATAAGTCTTCCTGCAGCGCTGTAGTTTATCTATGTTTATCTTGTAGGAACAGTTTGGCTGGCCTTCATCTTTCCAACCATTCCTTGGCACTGTCCCATCATGCTGTAGGCATTTGCCAAGAATGCTTTCTCCTGCAAAACAAGCTTGACTTGGCATTTGACTTGATTTGGATGTGGGACAAAATGGAAGACCTAGGGGACCACAGATGTTAGTCTAGTTTAGTATTAACCATCCAATTATTGGGGTACCTAACTTTGACCCACATCCATACGTTGATTTTTGCCGAATCATAACGAAAAAATACTACATTCAGAAGATTGGCAAAAAGCAACTGCTGTCCCGTTCGAACTTCTTGGCAATGGCTACCTTGGAGAGGTGGGGTCACAATCACACTGAACGAGCGACACATTGTGAGCACTGAGCGATCCAATCTACAGCCAAACTTACAAGCTGGAAGGCCTTAGAGTATATCGAAATTAGTGAGGCTCTCTTGCACATATTAGAAAAGCTTGGCCATAATTTTCCCCTATCACACATCAGGGTATCACAGGCTTCCGAACTGCTTCCTTGGCAGCTTTCAATGCGCCATCGCAGCCTGTTCAATTGGCTGGCTTTGGGGATAGGTGTTGAATTGCGGCGAGTTTTCACAGTGACGCATTGAACTGTTTGTGAGAGTGTAACTGTTTGTATCATCACACGATTTGACGATATTATATTCTGATATATTCTGCATGACACCATTTAACAGCCCATACTTACCAAACTACACCGTAATCCAAACATTCCAGACTTAGTACATGCTGCATTGACAGACCGTACCCTGCCTTTCTTTGTCTCTCTTCGACCTAAATTTCTGCTATTGTTCAGCACCTGGCTTGACTTTGGTCAGCGGATTCGAAGCAACTTCAGCAAAGGGAGCAGGGACTTCTTGCCGAAAGAAGACTGGTTGTGACATCGCAGTTTGAACCAGGGTTTCAGAAGTTCATAATGGTTCACAAGAGTAACAATAAGAAAATTACTTCATGAATAATTCATAAGTGGAATAATAGTGTAATAATAAGGAAGGCATGGGAAGGCTGTGTTTTTAGATCCAGGCAACATCGCAGAATGGATCCCGCTGAGTATCCATCTATGTTTGACTGCTGTAAGTACATATAAGTTGTAGGCTCAGGAAAGCATCGAAAGGAGAGGTTGGATATATTTTGAAAGACTCAAGATCCTCACTTATCCAAAGCATTTCAGTCCTGTTGATACAAAGACCATGATGACATGCCCCCGCCCCAACAAATACCCGTCACAAGAGCACCTGGATGTGTGCGCAAGAGACGCGCAGGCACATGGAGGCCTTTCAAAGCAGAGGGAAAAATATGGAGCCAACTCGCTTCACGAAACCCAAAGCTTCTGCTGCGTCAAAACAGTTCTATGATGATAATCTTTCCTTCCTTCAATATATATATATATATGTATAATATATATATATATATATTATATTATATATATATATGATACACTTGTATATATATATATGTGTGTTCCCGAATAGAATTGAAAATGACAGAAACGGAACAAAGCAACTGCATCGATCAGTCAGCACCTTTTGTTATGCAGTTGGCTTTGCGGCTGTGTCTCTGTCAGATGCCAATCGCATCTATCACAAATGGTTTCACAGAAACTCTGAACTGCAGTGGTGGTGTCACACGTCAAAATCCACCCAACCCGCCGGAGCGTGAAGCTCGCGCAAGTAAGAAGGGAAAAAGAGGGGTTGTAGGTGGGAAAACACCACTGTACACCATAAAGTCAGCCGCAACCACCTGGCTCCCGAAGGACCTTAGGTGGCGTGAGAATCGGTCTTACGACGTTTTGAATTTCCTGAAAAAGTGGGGACACTCATCTGGTCATCCAGAAGAGCCCAGAGAAATTTAAAATGAGAAAAAGCTTCACTCACTGGTAGTTGTCGATCAGGATGAAAACCAGTGAAGTTCGGGTGGGTGAGTTCGTCCGCCCACTTGTTGTAGTCCCGCTTCATGTGTGAAGGCGCCAATTGAACCCCAGCAACATAGAGCATGGCGATGAGCTGCATTAGGAAGGCTGAGGTAGGCATATGCTTCGTCTTCTGGTTCAACAGGGCAAAGACATTGCCTTGATTGTCTGAAATGAGGCTGAGACGGGTACGGAGCAGAGATTTCCCACCCAAGGCCAAAAGGAAGTGGGTGAGGATCAATGTGCCAAACATCTCGAGGGTCGCAATGCGTCTGGTTGGATCACCATCCTTGTGAGCCCATGGATGGTCTTCAAGGGGTATCTTGTAATGGAACCACCAGGTCTGTTCCTTTGACGGGTTCTCACAGTTTGCAATCCACCCCCCAATGTAGGCCCCATCATCCGGGTGTGCACTAGCATCACTGGCACCCCACCAATTGGAGGCAGGGTCGTAAGGGCAGGGTTGGATCTGGGGGTTGTGGAGCAGCTGGAGGAGAAGCTTCGCAAAGGATCGTATGAGCTTGCCGGGCTTCCCTGAAGTAGTCGTCGCGGATTTCCATGCCCAAAATGGTTGAAGAAAAGGGCGGCTGAGGGGCCAAGCTGCCGTTGCCCAATTTAAGCGTCCCAATGCTCTCTCAATCTCCTTTACCGTGAAGGTGTTGCCAGCCGCGATGGTCTGGAGGAGTGCCTCAAGTGTCTTCCTCTTATCTGGAGGGAAGTCTACCACTGGTCCGCATGGGTTGACCTGGAAACCTAACCAGGTGTTGACCTCAGATAACACCGTCTTGTGCCAACTGAGGGGGCACCCCATGGCTGCTAAGAAGAGAAGTAGTTTTGCCGTATCCTCAGCGGCGGAGTCCGTTCTGAGGAGCCAGCAAAAGTCATCCACAAACACAAAGCCCCAGTCTATGTGTGGAAACACCATGTAGCATAGTCTGAGGAGGAGTGCCGCCATTCTGCCCCAATAAAGTTGGGCGCTGGCCATACCATAGGTACCCACCTTGTTTATCCACCATTCGCCATCAAGTTGTGCTACCTGGTAGCGCCATTCGTTGGATTGGACCTTGATGCGGCGGTGTGCTTTTGAAACATCTGCTTTCAAGAGCGCCCAGGTGGTTTGTTTGTGTGGAGGTTGCCATGCTAGGTCGGTGCAAGACGCTACCGTCCCAGATGTCTTCTCCTTCTTGGTTGGTTAGCCAGTGAATGGCTTGAACACAGTCCATCACTGTGGGTGCAGTGGTCTTCTCAACTGTGTTTTGTTGGATGTGTGAGTTTGCATGGCCCCAGCTTCCGTCGTAAATTGTGCGGGTTTTATCTCCTTCATCAATTGCTGCCAGGGGCCCTGGGCAGAGTTCATCTGGGGTGCATCCACAGCGGAGGGCGGCCTCCTCCTGTGTGAGTGGGCCTTCAACCATGCCCATGTCTACCTCTTCCACGAAGGTCTGTCTGACCTGGGAGGAGAAATCTTTGGCCGAGGGGTAGTTGTCCCGGCCCATGGGTATTAGGAGGTCCTCCCACAGAGGGGATTCTCCTTTGAGTTCTTCCTTTGTAGGCCATATACCCGGTGACGTCCAGGTAGGTGTGGTGACACCTAATGGGACTCCCTTGGCAACCCTTGTGGGGTAGGCTGCGTCTGCATCTCCACCAGCTTCCGCTAAGGCTGAGATGAGGTTTAGGTAGAACGGCTGGCCTGGCTCCATCTCCTCAGCAAGTTGGTGGTCCAGCCCAATCTCTTGGGCAATGGCCCGCCGTGTCTCCTGAAGAAGCTCCTTAGAGAACGGATGTTTTCTCTCACCCCTGTTGATGGACTGTTGGACGTCCTGTGCACATCCTTTTGCCAGGTGGCTGATGGAGTCTCCAATGTGCTTGATCTTGGACTGAGGTCTGAGCGGGGGAGGTCGTCTCCCGGCTGAGGGCTTACCGCCTCCATCACGTAGGGGTCTAGTCTTGAAGCCTGATTGAACGATGATCGGGTCGTCATCCAAAGTCATCGTCTGGGAAAGGGGTACCGATGAGGAGCGGTCTGTCCGACCAGGAGGCTCCCCTTCCTGTTGACATCCGGTGGATGGATGTCCGGTGTTTGGAATGCTCTGGATGATTGCTGCTGCCAGCCCTGCCATCAGTGCTGGCGGGTATCTGCTGAGGTCCCGGGAGGTCATCGCCAATGGCCTCAGGTGTTCAGAATGGTTGCACTGGAGGCCTTGCCAATGGTGAATTGGAAGGTCCGTTGAGAAGGTCGTACTCTTCTGTGCCCTTTGTCCAAGTCTACACTGGTCCAGGTGGATCTGACAGTGATTTACCTCTTTGGCCCACTCCTGATAGACTCCGGTGGCCCATACCGATGAACATTTTGCCGCCGTTGGTGCCCGACTACACTCCGCTGGGTCACGAGGGTGTTCCAAGAACGAGTGGAATCCTTTGTGTTGCCTGGCTTTTGAGGCTAGGGCAGTGATGACCAGTTGCCGGAGCAAAAGGATACTGTCCTTGTCTGTGTCCAACTGTTCTTCCAGGGAATTTGAGTCGAGTCCCCATGTCTGGGAGGGATCACGCCCTCGTACTGGCCTGGGCGCTCCAGGCTTTGGAAACCATCGTAGGATGCTCCAGGTCCGGCAGTTGGGGCCGCCCCCCACAAATGACAACTGGCCCCCCACGGCGGCGCAGCAGAGAGTTGAGTAAAACTCATCCTCCAGTATGTCGTTTGGGCCCTTTTCTGGTGGCCTCAGGATATCCACGGCAAGGAGCCTGGGGGCCAGGTCCTGGTGTTGTTGGATGAGTATGTCATCCAAGGCCCCTCCGTCACTCCGGCCAGTGTAGAGGAGTAGTATGTCCTCCCTTGGAGACTAGCCGTGGGTTGTGTGGTCCATACAAGGCGTTCCAACAGCCTGTTCGGAACCGATGAGAGCCATGGACAGTGCCCAAGCAGGGACTGTCCATCCATGGTCATTGTTACAACTGTTGTGTCAAGTGGTCGGCCCACGGCCTCTTGCTGTGAATGTGGTGTGCTTGTGCCGTTGTGGTAACCTGGAGGAGATCTCCCCGGTTCCGTTGTTGCTTGGTTTTTGATTGGTGTTGGGGTGTCCATCAACCTTGGTGGGTGATCGGTGCAAGACGCTACCGGATCCGCCAAGAGTCAACGGTGCGGGCATTGCTCTGGGTTGTGTTCTGAGGGCGCGGCGTTGCATACCCAGCCATTCTTAAGGACCGGACAGTTGTGGGAGCGTCCGCAGTTCCCAGGACATTTCTTCTTGAGGAAGTGGTCACGGCAGTACTGCACTCCCTTGGGTGAGATCTTAGCCCAGTTTGAAGGCCATTCAGAGTCCTTCCCTTTTCCGGATCCCATGGCCCCTTTAGCCTTACCCCCTTTGGGTGATCCTTTTTGTTTGTTCCATTGTGGCTGAGTTGGTGACCACGAAGGGTTGCGTCCCTTGGACTCCCCCACGGTCTGTGTGACGGAACTGGAGGTCTGCTGGAGAGTTGTTCCGGGCCTCCGTGATGGTGGGCCATCGATCGGCAAGGTCCTCCACCGAGCGGTAGCCATCCGACGCCATCCTTGCCATGATGAAGTATGGAATCTCCTTGGACTGGAAGATGGTCAGGACTTGTTGGTGAAGCAGATCCACCTGATCCTTATATTGCTCGGGCACCACATCAGGTGGGGAATCCAATACATCAGGCACCGCCGCCATATTCGAAAAGTAGGGCAGTGGTGGGTGGGTTTTCGAAAGTATTGGATCACAGGGGGAACAGCTTGAGCAAAAATGGCATAGCCATTTTGGCAACTATATCGTCAACACATTACTTGCTCTCCACAAGTTCCAAGCAAAGAAACAAGTGTTCCCGAATAGAATTGAAAATGACAGAAACGGAACAAAGCAACTGCATCGATCAGTCAGCACCTTTTGTTATGCAGTTGGCTTTGCGGCTGTGTCTCTGTCAGATGCCAATCGCATCTATCACAAATGGTTTCACAGAAAC